ATTTTTAGCTCATAATCACTCTAGAAGGGACAATTAATGACGGATTTTAATGAAACTTGGTGTGAATGTTCGTAATCACCCAAGAATGAACCCTATTGAAAATAAGAAGAATTGAAAAATATCTAGTATGAGTTATTGCCCTTGTTCTCAAATTTAGCTCTTAAACACTAAAATGCATGATTCTTGCTGGATTTTGACAAAACTTGGTTTTATTATTCAGCGCTGAAGATTGAATATTTGCCTTCTAGAGTTTTCACGAGCTAAAAATTAAACACGTTTTCAAGAACAAGGGCAATAACTCATACTCCATATTATTCAGTATTGCGCTTAAGAGTTCAAAAGAAGTGTATGACTGAAGGTTGAATATTTCATACTGGTGATTGTTCGTAATCACCCAAGGATGAACCCTACTGAAAATCAGAAAAATCTAAAAATATTTAGTATGAGTTATTGCCCTCGATCTTGAAAACTCGTGAAGGCATGATTCTTGCCGAATTTTGACAAAACTTGGTTTTATTATTCATTACCGCGCTGAAGATTGAATATTTGTCTTCTAGAGTTTTCACGAGCTAAAGATCAGTAATGTTGATATTCTGACATAGTATATCCATTAACTAGTGATTAATTTCAAATATAGTATTATACATGATATATTCTGTACTATTTTTATCACCTGAAGGCTTAATGAATAAGATTATCCACTCTTATGATATCTTATCTTGCTAAACTCTCTGTTTATTTGAAGCCAGCATATTTTAAGATAGGTATAAAATATATAAAATTGAATAAACTATATAATCTAAATCAATTTAATCAAATCAAATCAAATCAAATATATTTTATGAGATTTATAAACACGGTCTGTTTATCAAGTACTATTTATAATGATATATTTATATAACGTGAACATCTGGATCCATTTACATTATCTATTATTTTAATTACCATGCTGAATTAGTTTTTTATACGCCCACACGTAAGATGGGCGTATATTGTAATCACCCCGTCAGTCCGTCCGTCCGTTCACATTTGGCTCGTGCTCACTCTACAGGCTACAGTTCTTTACAGATTCTTTTGATTTTCATTTTGTGTGTCAATGTCATTATGAAGATGATCCCTATTGATTTTCGTGATGATCGGATAATTTTTCACCGAAATATCGTGTCTGACTTGACGTTTTTCTCTATTAGCTATATTGTGCAACTCGTGCTCACTCTACAGGCTACAATTTTTTACAGATTCTTTTGATTTTTATTTTGTGTGTCAATGTCATTATGAAGATGATCCCTATTGATTTTCGTGATGATCGGATAATTTTTCACCGAAATATCGTGTCTGACTTGACGTTTTACTCTATTAGCTATATTGTGCAACTCGTGCTCACTCTACAGGCTACAATTCTTTACAGATTCTTTTGATTTTTATTTTGTATGTCTATGTCGTTATGAAGATGATCCCTATTGATTTTCATGATGATCTATCGATTTTCATGATGATCGGATAATTTTTCACCGAAATATCGTGTCTGACCTGACGTTTTACTCTATTAGCTATATTGTGCAACTCGTGCTCACTCTACAGGCTACAATTCTTTACAGATTCTTTTGATTTTTATTTTGTATGTCAATGTCATTATGAAGATGATCCCTATCGATTTTCGCGATGCTCGGATAAT